CTCAACGTGGGAACCAGGCCCAGCTCTCCACACACGCCCGCAAAGCACGCTGGGAGGGGGGCGGGAACTCCACCGAGAGTCCCCGCCCCCCCTTCGCCGGCCGCAGCCAATCACTCACGTCGGACGGTCTAAGTGGCAGCGACATGAAGCCAATCCTGGGGAAGGAAAGCCGGCGGCATCCCCTGACTGGCCTATTAAAGGGAGAGGAGGTGGGTGTCGCGGGGGAGTGACAGCTGGATCAGTCAATGAGAGGGGGGAGAGTGCCAGCATTCGCTTTGCCATTGGCCAGCAAGCAGTGAATGACCCAGTGGATTGGCATGCCACTAAGCCAACCGCAGATGGAGATGGTTCGTCTCTGCGTTCCTACTGGAGAAGGATAGGGGGTGGGCTAGATTCAATATGGAGTGACATTTCTTGGAGCTAATCAGAGCCTGGGAATGCCCGGCCCTAAACTCTCGTTGGAGGATGGGGAGGACGAGCTCATTTTGATGGACAGCCCTTTGAACCAATCAGATGGATGCAGTTCCACACGCCGCTGCTCTATTGGAGGCCGGCACACGTGGGCCGGTCTTGAGTTCGATTGACAGGGATATAAATCAATCCCAGGTGTAGGCTGTTGGACGTGCCTCCTTAACTGGTGGTGAGGTGGGGGGCGGGCGTAAGGTTGATCGTTAGCCTTCTGAGCCAATCATAAGCAGGGTAGCCCAAATCTGATGCCTTATTGGAGGCCGGGGGCCGGCGAGTCCCACGTTCGATCGACGGACCTGTGGACCAATCACCCATCCTTCCATGGCCCGCTGAGAGAGCCCATGGGCTAATTGGAAGGAAACGAGATGGGGGGGACTTCAGGTGATGAACAGATGCACGGGCCTATAAGCGAGAGGAACTAGTGTGTGAGCCCCAATGGCCTTTCGGAGAGGAAGAGGGCGGGTCTTTGAGAGGCAGACAAGGGAGCGTGATTGGCGCGTTGCCCAGACAGGACTGGCCAATCAGCTTTGGGCTCAGCCCCGCGGTCTTCGGGGTGGGCGAAGCGGCTGGACCTGCGAGGCTTGGCACGTGCTATGAGCTTTTACCTGTGTCTGTTAAGAGGGTTCTGACCTGGGCACTTTGCCCACCCATTCCTTCTACCACTCCTGACCTGTGCCCTCTGCCACTCGTCACCAATCAGGACCTTTGCCCGCATCCCCAAGGCCTTAACCTCCACCTCCTCCTTCCACACCACCTGCCATGACCTTTCCCTCTGCTCCAGGGGGCACAACGTCTGCCCTCTGACCTCAAGCTTGTCACTACTCCCCAGGGCGTGACCTTTACACTCAGCCATGGTGTGCTGCTCCGCCTTTAGAGATGTGACCCCTGACCTCCAAGGGGGCCCCCCCCCCCCCAGGGCCTTGTATCCCCTGCAAATATGTGACACCCCCACACCTCCAAGGGGTTTCCCCCCATGACTTGACTCCCCTCCCCACCCCCACACTCCCAGCCCTGGGTTGACCCCAACCCCAAGAAGGCATGACACTAGCCCCATGAGGTCACTTTCTCCCCAGGGGTCATAATCTCCACCCCACATCCACCAGGGGCTGCATAATGGGTAGAGTAACCCTCCTGTCCCTGTCAGGAGCCCGGGAGACATGGGCGGAAAGTTTCTGCCCATAGTTCAGTGGCAGCTTCAGGTATCAGCCGCTATGAGATGGCAGGTACCACCCCCCTCCACCTCCCCCCCAGCCTCAAGGGCCAGGTGCAGGCAGCATGGGGTAGACTCCCCTAGCCACCTCCTCCTCTCCCAGCCTGCCCTCCTAACCTGCTGCCTCCTACTCCCAGCCCTCGGTTACCCCTTCTCCATAAAAGGAGTGTGACCCCTGGCCCTCAAGGGGCATGGACCTCCTACACCCAGCCCCAGCTGCCCCCTTTCAAGCATATGACCCCCCAGCCCTCCAAGGGGTTTGTGTCTCGCCCTTCTTCCCCTTTTAACCCTTCTCTGCACAAAAGCTTACATCCCCAGCTCAGCCTCCTCCAGGCACCTCCTGTTGGAGGCCAAAACCTGAAAGCAAACCAAGGCTGAGGGATCCATCACAGCGTTTTTTATTAACTCTTTGACATCACATCGTCTTCCCGGAAGGTGGGAACACAGGTCAAGAGGGAGTTGAGGGATATGGAGAATAAAGACAGCTTCAAGGACAGGGCTTCCTACATCCAGTCCAGCTTAGTGTCTGTAGAGCTGTCTCCGCCGTCAACCCCTGACCCCCAACCCCCACCCTCCCACCAGCCCCCTTGGGGTTTTCTCTGCTCCATGAGGATGAGGCAAAGCACCGGGACCACTGCAAGATCCTGCTGCTGTGGCAGTTGGCAGCTAAAGCGCCCACCCCAACAACAGCAATGGCGCAGGATCAAGGGGTACACAGGTGGATTGGGGAGCTGTGGGGGGGAATACAGCAGCCTTGCATTTCCTCCCCACTCCCCAGTGAATCTCAGCGCAGCAGGAACCAGGGGCATCACCCTTTCTGTTGTTACTCCAGCTTCACATAGAGCGTCAGGGAGACCACCATGGCTGCCACCTGCGAGGAACAAAGGGGACACAAAGAGCAGGGATAGGCCTCTAAGACTGAGACTCCAAATGTCCATACCTCCATGCTGGCATCTAACATCATGCTGAATGCTGACAGATCTAAGCTGCAGAAGGGAGTTCTAGGCTGCAGGTCTGTGCCCATCAGTAGCATAATTAGGGTGGGGAGACCAGGGTAGGAGTCCCAGGCACCAACTTGGCTGCGAGGGGGATAAAGCTTCATGTCAATGGAGCAGCAGAGTCCCAGGGATGGGCCTCAACTTACTTCTAGTAGGGTGGTCATGATGGCAATTCCCCCCATCATGGAGGTCTTCCTCCAAATGAAGGTCATCATCTTGGGGAAACAGCCCTGAAGGGTTTAAAAAATAAGAGGGTGATGGGGGCAGAGGCAGCCCTCCTTGATCCTGGAATTACAGGCTCCTCCCTTGCAGGGAGGCAGAAGCTTGTCCTTGGCACAGGGCCTGGGCTGAAGCTTGGAGCCACATTCACTTGACACACACCTTTGCACCCCAAAATTAGCCCTCCACCCCCAAAATTGTGCGGGAGTGTCTTAAGCAAGGAAGCTCATTTGCTGCCCAGGAGAGAACCCCCTGCTTTTATTCCTGCTCCATACAGCAGCAGCAGCATTTCTGTTTAGGCAGCTAAGGATGGGGAGGGGGGTTAACGGACTTCATGGCTTGTTGTTGTTCACTCCCCAGGTATTTAATGACCCTCTCTCCTCCTTAGCAGGCTTCATGTTTCACTCATCAAGCCAACTTCTCATAGGCAATGCTGCTGTCTGCTCCTGGTCTCTTTCCTCTTATTTCACAGCCCTGCAGACTGCCTGTAGCTCTTTTAAAACTCCTAGATCCACTCATGGAAACAAGGTTGTAGCAGCAGTGTGAGTTTCAGCTTTAGTTCAGCGATAAGGGAGGGCAAGTGAACTGCAGCTGAGGTGCAGTCCCTATTTTAAACACCGTAACTCCCCAGACCACCGAGCTGGGGGAAGGAAGAAGAGCCAGGGTGGACACTCAGATATCCCATGTCCCAAGAGGCCAGGACCCTGGACAGGCCATCAGGGTGAGTTCTGTGCCCTTGCTCCTTTTCTGAGCTGGATGCTACCTCCATGTGGATGATGGTGCTGTTGATATCTGTCCCATTGCAGTCGAAGCTCTTGGGGTCCTTGCAGCAGCTCCGGGGGTAGGTCAAGTTGGTATGTTTCTGGAAGGCTGAGCCCTTGAAGTCTGTGTAGTTGTGGACACCACAGCAGTTTTGCTGAAAAGAGCTGGGGCATTGGTGGGGAGGACAGGTGGGGGGAGGTGGTTGACAACAGGTCTGGGGCTGGGGGTAGAAACCAGAGGCTGGGGCTGGGCAGGGACTGAGCAAGGCAGCCAGATCTAGGGAGATATAGAGCACATGCCCTGCTACCTAGGGATCCAGCTGGGAGTTCAGGGGAGAAGGAAGGGAAGAGATGGGGGACTGAACTGTCTGGGCACAAGAGAGATCCACTCCCTGCTGCATCTCTTGGGGGACAACGTCCCTCACCCACTTAGTTCAGCCCTTTTCTAGCACCTCCCACAGGGCAGGGCAGGGCCATGGAGGAGACACAAAAGGCCTTACAAAGTTAAGGGGTTTGCCCAGGGTGGCACAAGGAAGCAGTAGAAGAGAGAGGGGTGCAACTCTGTGCCCTGTGGTAGCACATTAACCACTGACACCAAGTGGCCCTGGAAATGGGCAGCACTAGGCACACTGGGGCCCTGATCCTGGGGCTGATTTATGGATGGGGGAAAAGAGGTACCGACCCTCAGCATGTAGCTGTTCCAGCCGTAGGACACAATGTTGTCATACTTGTAGCCACCATATTTCTTCTTCAGCGTCTGGAGAGCCTTGTCCTGGACAAATGAGCGGATCTACGAGGGATTGGGGAGTGAGGAGAACCAGGCAGGAACTCCACTCCAAGCTAAGGCAGTCGGATCTGTGTCTTACTGAGGCTGACAGAGCTATGGGGTTTGGGGGGATCTAGCAGCCTGCAGGCCCGGTGCCCACATACCCTGCCACCCTGTCCCCAACTTTGATGTGCAATAGGGAGATGTGTGATGAGCACTGGGAAGCGGTGTAGGTGTGGCAGGATGTGTGTCTTGCGTGTCACAGCATGTGCCACAGTCCCACTAGCAGGGATTTCCTGCTGCTGCAACAACATGGGGTAGGATACCCAAGCTGGAATCCTGGTGCCCTCTGTGCCCTTCAGGGTACTCTAGTGATGCCCCTGGCTCCTGGGTGAACCTGACCAAGGGCTGGGGGGCACTGTGTTGTCTCTGCCCTCTGCCCCCTGGAGCCTCAGTACTCACAAATGGCGTGAAGGCTAAGACAGCAATGACCACGGAGATCTCTGCGACAAAGATGAGCAGCATGGTGGCAAAATACTGGGGGGGAGGGGAGAGAGAGTAGTAGGAGCAGGGATCTGGCTGCCCCGATCTATGGCAGGGGGAGCCAGGTGTCCCTGGCCCAGCTGGTGGGACACAGGAGGCTGGCAAAGAGCTGCTGACACCTGGTCCTGGCCCCTGCAGCAGGGCAGGGTGCAGCAAAGCCAGCCCTGCTCCTTTGTACATCAGGGATGGCACCAGAAGCCCCTGGAAGCACTATAGTCGAGGCTTCCAGGAAGCTGGAAGGACTGGTCAGCCCAGACCTGGCAGCTTTAAGAATAAGAGTTTGAAGCCCAGGCAACCTAGGGACCAGGATTCAAAGCCCAGGGCCAAAGTATAAAGACCAGTCAGTCCAGCCTAGGCAGCCACAAGGCCCAGTGTTTAAAACCTGGGCAGCTGTAAGGCCCAGCTACCCTAGCCCTGGCAGTTGTAAAGCCCTGGGTTCAAAGCCTGGGCAACTATAAAGCCCAGCCAATGCAGCCCACCCTGCGGGGCTCTTACCATCATGAGCAGGCAGCGGTTTTCCTTGTAGGCGCTCCAGCAGCCCAGCAGCCCAAGCACGATGATGAGGCAGCCGGCAGCGATGCCAAAATCCCAGGTGTGGGCAAAGTAGATGAAGGAGGAGCCCATCACCCGCACAAAGGAGGTGCTGCCCACCTTCACCCACACAGCCAGCCCCACCAGGGTGATGCCCGCAGCCTCGGGACAGAGACTGGGGGTCACTGGAGCTCTCCACTACCAACTATCTGGTATCTGCCTCTCCAGTGAGCCCCATGCCCAAGCAGCTCTATCTCTGCCCCCTCGGAGGCAGATCCCAGCCTGTCGCAAGGGCTTAGAGAAGGCTGTATCCTCTTCCCCCTCCCAGCTCTCTCCCCGCTGGGCACCATATGTCTGTGCCTAACCCAGGGACATGGCAAGGCCACTAGCTCCCACAGTCTTGGCTCCCGTGCTCACCATGACGGCAGCATTGAAGCAAATCATGGCACTCCTCAGGGCCTTGTAGACATCGTCCAGTGCCATGGCCTGGGCACACTGGCTTCTGGAGTGGACAAATGGGCCCCGGAGGGGGTGTCAGACCCTGGGACTAGGGGTGGGGTCTTTGTGCCATGGGGTTGGGCACCAATGGAAAATTGGGGAAGGGCAGGGGGGGAGGGTTTGGGACCCAGGCACGTTTCCGTACCTCAGTTTCCCTCCTGTGAGCTCTTGTGGTTCCATGCCCCCCTCCCCACCTGGCTCAGAGCCCCC